TGGCAAAGCTAAAGAATAATGATAGCTTTTAGTTACCTTCTTGCTCAGGTTGATATTCAAATGGAGGAAATTTCTGTTGTTGTTGTTGTCTGAATCAAGACATTTCCAGCAATCCCAGATTTTAACTGTCTTATCATTACCACCTGAGATCAAGAATCTACCTTTTTCCTGAAACAGAGAAAATGCTACACAAGAAACAGCAGCTTTGTGCCCATCGACCGAGTAATCTAAAGAAACCCTTTTGGTCACATTACTGCTGCCGCTACCTTTTGATGTTCCTTTTCGGGAAAGTTCTGATTCGATATTGATCAAATCGACAATTCCATCTCCTCTAGCAACCGCGCATATCTTGCCTAACTTATCAACCATGTCGATTTCGGGAACTGCTATCGAGTGAACAAACGCAGGGTTTAGGCATTGTCCTGAGTTACTTTGTGAATCAGTTCCTGAGAAAAGAATACAGAAGTGACCCGTGACATAAGTTTTGCATGTAATGGCTAAGAAACACGAAACAGCGGCATAGTGCTTACCAAAGTCTATAATCTTTTGCGAACGGCCTTTTGAGAAATCCCACAGAACAAGCTTTGAATCAAGTCCACCAGTTAGAACTGTAAGAAATTAAACATTTTAGAAACATTGAAGAGATCTATTAAGAACAAATCACAATAGTTAGTTACCTTCCCAAGGTCTCCATGGAATGAATTGCACAGTACTGCATATCTTAAATGTTACATTAAGGTGTTTGACTTAAGAGATTTATTCGAGATTTGTAGAATTTCACAGACACGAGAAAGCAAAACAACGAATTAAGGATACACTTGTATGACCAGCTCTAAGGGTTTTATAAAGGCATTTCCGACCAATGTCGATGATCTGTGTTCGAGCAAACTAATCATACCGAGAAATTCATGTTTACGTAATCTTTTAAGTATTAAGAACAGCAAATTAAGGTACCTTAACATCACCAGAATCATCTGCAAAAGCAAGAAAAGATGATCTTCCATTGCATACCACCTTAACAAATCAAAACATATCAACATCGGTTTTGTAGGTAACTTCGATAACCATTTTTCATAAAGTCAAGGTCTCTACCTGATTAACTTCATCTTTGTTGTAACTGTAACTCTCAAATGGCTTCAAAGAATCATCACCTAGCTATAAAATGCACAACCAGAGAAAACTCTTAACTGAGTGAAGAATTTGTTTAAAGTTATTCAAAATTTCGATTTTTCGTTTTTTTTTACCGTATGAACATCGAAAGACTTGATCTCATTTCCACAAGAAGCATACAGAATCTTCTCATTACCTGAAAATTTTAATCACCAACTGAAAACAGAGAGATATGAAACTGAGAGAGATATAGAGACAAAACCTGTTTTGAAACAAAGAGACGAAACTGGTTCTGTTCCAACATTAATGGTGAATTGAACATCTTTACATCGCAAATCGAACCAGCAAACGCAACCATCCTATATAATAATCCATCAATCAAATTGTTAAAGAAACCTTCGTAAAACCCTAAATTCATCGAATCAAACAAAAACAATTAGAGATTTTAAGAGACCTCGCCGGAAGTGACGACAAGTCCAGGACGGTCACGAGAAGCTATACAACACGTGGCAGCTGATTTGTGGCCTCTCAGCTTCCTTGGCTCCTCCATTGTCATTACTGTGAGAGTTTCTCCGGCGATTGCTCAGGTTCAGCTCTAATGTTTATGCTTAAGTTAGAGTGG